CCCCAGAGAACTTTTACCCTTCTGCTCTCAAGGCAGAACGGCAACCTGCTCCAGTGTCTCAACAGCCTCACAGTAAAGAATTTTTTCTCATATCTAATCTACATCTACTGTCTGTCAATCTAAAGCCGTTACCCCTTGTCCTGTCACTACACTCACTGACAGAGTCCCTCCCCATCTTTCCTGTAGCTCCCTTCAGGTACTGGAAGGCTGCTATAAGGTCTTCCTGGAGTCTTCTTCAGGCTGAACAGCCTCAGCTTTCTCAGCCAGTCCCTATAGGGAAGGTGCACCAGCCTCCTGATCATCTTTGTGGCCCTCCTCTGGACTTGCTCCAACAGGTCCATGTCCTTCTTGTGTTGGGGGCCCCGGAGCTGGACACGGTACTGCAGGTGGGGTCTCATGAGAGCAACACAGGGGGAGAATCACCTCCCTCAACCTGCTGGCCATGCTTCTTTTGATGCAGCCCAGGATATGGTTGGGTTTCTGGGCTGCAAGCACGCTTGCTTATATTCAGATTGGTCTAAACCCTTTGATCCAGCCTGTCTGAATTCCTCTCTAGGGCCTTCCTGCCCTCAAGCAGATCAACACTCCCACCCAACTGGGTGTCATCTGCAAATTTTCTGAGGGTGCAATTGGTCCTCTCAGTCCAGGTCACTGACATTGTTGCTTGCCATTAGCACTGCATCTGATGGACTTAAAGAGCCTAGTAACATCTTCAGCCTTGGAGGTTTCACTGTTGTCTACTTCTCTAGGTCTTGTATAAAGAAGTGAAATAAAACCAGTCTGGCAGTGGTATCTGTTTCCCCCATTGTTAGATCTTTCAGTCGCATAGAATATTAGAAGGTTCTTCCAGCAGAAGACACCTGTAGAGATACTGAGGATATACACAGTTTCAGAAAGGATGGAGTTCTGATTGAAGCATACAAGTAGAAAATAAATAACTATAGCCCTATTTTTCATACTTTTTTAGCATTTTGCTCAGTATTTCTTCTACTATGTTTGCAACTCTAGCACACAGATTTTCTGTTGTGTTTAGGGATGTATTTTAATCTAATTATAAAGTTAAATTATTAAATGTATGTTACATCAGCATAGCACTGTTTGGTAGGAGAGTCAGAGGGACACGTACATTAGTTCCTTCTAACCCACTGAAGAAATGCATGCAATAGACAGCACTTGGGTTTGGGTTTTTTTGCTCTGTGTATGTATATAAGGCCTATGCAGCATTTTTCTGCTTCTGCAGAGTAAGACGATGTAGAGATTACGAAGATGTCAAAAGCCAGAGATACTCAGAAAGCAAGGAGAAAAGAAGCAAAGAGGACAAAGAAACTCAGAATAGAACAACAGAAAAGGAGAGCTCCATCAAGGACGGAAAGTTGCATCTATGTACTCCTCAGAAGAGAAAACTAGCAAAGGCAGCAGTGGAAACTGGAAGAGAAAATACTCCCAGGCAATCAGCAGAGAAGTGGAAGCACCTGGAAGACAAAGACTTAAGAGAAAAACGTTGTTTTATCTGTGGAAGAGAAGGTCATATTAAAAAGGAGTGTCCACAGTATAAAGGAGCTGCAGGTATGAAACTAATCAAGCAAGTAGTATAAAAAGAGCTTACTTTTTTGGTATTTTTAACAGAGTGGAGTAACATGTAAGGTTTTTGCTTTGAATAGCATCTCATAAATGCTATCCTGATAGGTTTTCTTCAAATGTAGTCACATTTAGTCAGTTTTCTCTTCATCCTCACCTGCCTTTTAGAACTTTGCTGCATCCCAAGAGTTCTGCCATAGTTCTTTTTAACAGATAAGATGCTTGTAATAGAAAGAGTATGAGGGTCTCACTCAGTATGAGTGCTGAAATTGCTTCCATTATACTCACTGTATAAGAGTTTGCTAAGATTTCAAATTACAGCTTGTTTTTCAGAGCATCATAATTACAACAAAAGCTAGCCTCACGGTTCTTCACATCACCTAAACCAAAATTACTCCATAAGACTCCATAAAGTCTCTGTGAAGTTGTAAACGTTCCTCAGATAGAATATTGTGAATGAAATAAAAAATGTTCCTGCCAACTCAGCAGTCAGAGGTATACAATAATCTGTCTTACTTTTCATGGAGTCAGTTTGCAACTTTGACTTTAAAATACAAAATTGCCCCTGAATCCAGATCCTGACTGACAGACCCATTATTTCAAAAAATTAAATACTTTGCAGTATCTAATCATCCGTCAGATAAGATAGATGAGGGGAGGGGAGTGGATGTGGTCTACCTCGACTTCAGCAAGACTTTTAACACTGTTTCCCATGGCATCCTCAAAGCCAAGCTTAAGAAGTGTAAATTGGATGATAGGGCAGTGAGATAGATCGGGCACTGGCTGACGGACAGGGCTCTGAGAGTTGCGGTGAGTGGGGCAAAGTCTGTTTGGAGGCCAGTGGCTAATGGTGTCCCCCAGGGCTCCACCATCTGGGGAAGAAGAACCCCATGTATCAGTACAGGTTGGAGGCTGACCTGTTGGAGAGCAGTTCTGGGGAGAGGGACCTGGAAGTCCTGGTAGATAATGAGCTGACAATGAGCCAACAAAGTGCCCTTGCAACCAAGAAGGCCGATGGTATCTTGGGATGCATTGAGTGTGGCCAGCAGGTCAAGGGAGGTCATCCTCCCCATCTGCACTCATGAGGCCTCACCTGGAGTCCTGTGTCCAGTTCTAGGCTCCCTGGTTCAAGAAGGACAAGGAACTACTGGAGAGAATCCAGCGCAGAGCCACTAAGATGATGAGGGGACTGGAAAATCTGCCATATGAGGAAAGGCTGAGAGAGCTGGGTCTGTTCAGTCTGGAGAAGAGGAGGCTGAGAGGCAGATCTCATCAATGTTTATAAATATCTAAAGGGTGGGTGTCAGGAGGATGGGGCCAGACTCTTCCCAGTGGTGTCAGTGACAGGACAAGGGGCACTGGTCACAAACTGGAAAAGAGGAGGTTCAACCTGAACATAAGGAAATACTTCTTTACTGTGAGGGTGACAGAGCACTGGCACAGGCTGCCCAGGGAGGTTGTGGAGTCTTCTTCTCTGGAGATTTTCAAAACGCACCTGGACACGTTCCTGTGTGACCTACTGTAGGTGATCCTGCTCTGGCTGGGGGGGTGGACTAGATGATCTCCAGAGGCCCCTTCCAACCCCCTAACATTCTGTGATTCTGTCAAGGCAGATCTCTCATCATATGTGTTGTGAATTAAAATGATTCTAAGATAAAACTGAGACTCCTTAGGACAGTGAGTGCTACTTTTAGTTAGCTCCCAAAGTGACTCAGTATTGTTTTTTCCCTGTAGGTAAACCTAGGAGCATTTAAATTCATATTGGAATAATTTGCTCCACAGATTGCTTGTAACTTGGCCTTTTAAAGTAACAGATAGAAATCCTCTGTATAAATGTAATTTCCAGCTCTTCTCTACTAGCAAAACTGTTCTGTCTGGCTTAGATCAGGAGACGTTTCTTAATCAGATGTAATTGGTGGAAGAGGGCATAAGACTGTGCTAATGAAGTACTGAAAGTGGGAGAAAAACTATGGAAATATATTCAGAACTTTCAAGGTATTTGAAAATGTCCTTACCTCAATAAACAAGTAGAAGTGCTGGGACAGAAAGGATGCTTAAAAATGGAAGCCACATTTTATTCAGCTTCTGACCTTTCAAAGGTGTATGCCAAGTCTAACTTTTGAGTTTGTTTATCTTTGACCTTCTCTCACTGAGTATTTCTTCTATTCCCTTTGCTGTAAACTGAGTTTGCTGAGGTGAAGGGGAGTATGCCTGACTGTTTTGTAGTTTGTGACATTGTTCTATTTTATAACATTCATCATATGAGAACTATGCTGAAGCTGTGTAGCATGAATACCATGAACTCTAGAGTGGGCAGTTTTTTCTATTATCTGGATTTGGGGAATTACTATATTTGAATATGAAGGGAATTGCTGTGGATTAGGCTTTGTCTTTTTTCTTGTGAGACATGAACAATTCACTTTATCACCATATCTTCAATCACTCTCTGAAGTTCCCTGTCTCCCTTTGCTTCTGGAGGAGGACAGTTTAATTTATTGCTGGTTCCTAATTCAGATGCTTAATTACAGGTGCATCTCACCTCACTGTACTAGTTTTCCATGTTATAAAATTAAGGAAAATAACAATGTCATCCCTTCTATGTATTTTGAAGGTAGATTGCAAATATTTTAGTATTTTTAGATCTTATGATACATGAAATGGAAACTACTTTTAATTCAGTAAATCTTTGTTTTATTGTGATCTTTTCAGGTGGTTCAAAACCAGAAGGGTTATGTGGGTCTCCTTCTTTACCTAGTGCTGCCAAACATCCTGGTAGATTAAATCAGGTAAACACGAAGTGTTCCTTTTCTTGGATTTCTTTCTCATTAAATACTCTGAAGTCCATGTAAAGTAATTAAAAATAGCTTTACTTAAGGTTTCAAGAAGAGCATTCTATTTTTTTATTGTGCAGTGGCATAATTCAATTTTGTTGATTCATCAGTTTCTGTGTGTTGTTTATAGGGATTGGTTATACATGAAGAAAAAAAGAAACAAAAAGGAAAGGTATTTTTGAGTCCCCAGTCAGGTTAGTATATCTTCAGTTCAGAAATTCCGCATAAAAGCATGTCTTTAATTTGCTTTCTCTACAAGTCCTTATGGGAACTCTGCCTAATTTGCTGAACACAGCAGCAGTCTGGACAGGTTGCTAGATAATTCTGATATGAAGCCACTTCTTTTCATTGGAAAAGTGTGCAATTTTTCAGTTTTGTTTTGAAAGCAATCCTGGCCATGTCAGTTCTGTGCATTTTTTTGTCTTTAGCTCCAGTAGATTTATTTTGCAGAAGGCTATAGTGGGACTTCATGAGTCTCTCCCCTCTCTCCTGTTATGGTATACAGGGGGTTGGTTCTGTATTTCTTCAGGGATGACGTGTGGAGCGCTTTCTTGTGAAGTTTCCTTGGAGTAATTGTCTAGAATTCCACATGACCAACTGACTCAGGAGAGACTATCCAAGCACATCCTTGTTCTGGGCTGCAAAAATGCAAGGAAGTTAAAACAAAACTTAAAAGCAGCAGGCAGGTGATAATATAAAAACCTTTATATAGTTTCTCTGGATCAGAGATGTTTTATGTTAGATGCATGGTGACAAGTGTACCTTCCTTAGAGTGGTTTCACACACTTATTAACAGGTGAAATGAAGATTTTTAAGGGAATTGCCCTATCAAATTACTTCAAGTTCATTGTGCAACTCCTCAAACATTTTAGTAGCAGAGTTTTTTCAGTAAAATAGGTACATCTCTTCTGGGCATCCAAAGGGGCACCTGAGTAATCTTCACAAACTTAAGAAAACTAATCTGCAATTAAGTATTTCAAATCAAGTTCTCACTTTGGTTGGGAAGACACAGTACTTTCTGTTTTCAATATAAAGCTTTTTCAAATCTGAGTTTTGGGCTTTTAAACACAGTGATTTGTCTTTAGGTGTTTAGTTGATAAAAAAATGCTAGCTCTCATATTTTAATATTTTCTACTGTCCTCCAGCAGGTAATGATCTAAAGTTGGTCTGTGTGTGCTTTCATTATAGTTTAACTTAACAGTAACTTTCTCCTGTCTAATTGTTTCAGTTGTCTTTTTTTTTTCTTTTTTGTTTTTAAACCTTTAAAATTTGATCTTTTCTTCCTTCCAATCTTAGGCAGCCTTTCCAGTAAATACATAACTCAGGGAAAAGCCTCACAGAAGAGGACCCATCAAGAATCATGAGGGTTATTAAGCACTATTAAATTGCAATACAAGACCTTCATTCATTTAAAAATTTTTCTTTGGCTAAAGCATCTGGATTCACAGGACAGCAGCATAGACAACCTTTGAAGTTTAATGAAATATGGGTGTTTTCTTTGAGATTGCTAGTAGAAGCAACTGTGGATTTTATTATGGACCCCTGCTCTTAAATGGATTTTGAGCATTTTAATAGAAAGCCATGTTTTATATTTGTCTACTAGGTGAATCATATAGAAAAGGCATGTACTAAAAATGGACCATTTTCAAGGTTTTATTGTTCCCCCTGACCATTTTAAAATGCACTAAAATTGTGTGCAAGCCAAATACATTATATTTTCTTCAAAAATAGATTTTTTTGAAGGAGCAAATAATATTTATTAATGTTGATTGTTTACTGAATCCTTGTGTAAAAGTGTTTTAAATGTTTGTAGACCGCTACATTATTTTTATTCCTGTAGAGAACTGAAAACATAGACACTAGTAAACTCACGTAAAACAATCTGTGGACAAGCAGTGCCATTGAGGTCTCTTGGTTTGTTTTTTTTCTGTTCTGTGACTTTATGGGAGTTCATTTGCTGCTGTGCTTGTGTACAAGACGAAAGAAAGACTGAGAAACAGGTCAGTCCTGTTTGATGCTGCTATGAATCTTTTTCAAGGCCTTGGGGATATAGACAAAAATGCTTTAAAGAACAGAGGTATTATATTTGGCAACTGGGGAAAACGTGTCCATTTTCATAAAATGAAGAGGATCCTTGTGCTAGCCAAGAATTGAATTAGTAGTGTGAGCTTGAGCTTTACTTGAAGTCCCTCCAGAACTGATAATGTACCATCTTGTTCAGGAAAGAATTAGTTACATGGTAAAATTGAAACCACTGTTATTTATGACTTTGAAATAAATTTAAAATAAAAAATTCAAAAATCAGACTTAGGATTTTTTATTTCTTCTTCGGTAACAGTTTTCAGTATTCCTGACTTAAAGGTAGGATTAATGATATCTTAATAGAATTACCTCGTTTAGAAATGTCGTGTTTAATTTTTTTCCTTACCTGTCTGTTTTTCTTAAAGTTTAAAACTGGAATTGTCAAAGTAGTCTTAAAGAACTGGGATCCTAAATTCTGTTTCGGTTTTCATCCATCTGTATCCAGCTATCTGTAAACTGTTAGATGTGTGACTTCCATAAATAATTTCTGTAGTATTTTTTCCTGAACATATTTCCAAGAAAAATATTAGCCAGCAACAAAGAGAAAATAATTCCAACTTTATCTTCTGTAGCATATTTCATCATGAAATTAGGACAGTTTTTCCCTTAAAAATAAATTAATTTCTATAGTTTTTCATTTGCATCCTCCAAAAAAAGAAAGGCTGACGTGAGTTCTGTATGCCTGATACAGCCCTCTGTTCACAGTTACTTTCAGTTTTGCTAATGAAAATGAAGTGTGTAAGCCTTTAGAGGACTATGGCATAATGTCAAAGATAGAATTTTTAGTAAAAAAAAAGAAAGATTTATGCACACTTCTGGTCTTTTGGTTTTGATACTTCATAGTTTAGCAGATCCACCAGTCCTCACTTCGAAGCTGCTGCTTCCTCGTATAGTTACTCATCTCATAGCCCTAAAATAAAATCCCCAAACTTGGGATATATATTACAAGCATTACACCACTAACTAATAAATCCTTTTCTTAAAGAGCCCAGACATAACCTAGGAGATGGTCTGTGATACAGAATAAACACAGTTAAGAAGGCATACATATCTACTTGATTAAGTTGTTGCAAAATTTAGGAAATGGATTGAAAATCAAAATTGAATAAAATTAAGTTTTTCATAACAATTCTTGATATCCAAGATACTGTTTGCCTTATAGGAGTATATATGCTCCAGGAACAACTTTCCACATACAAAGAAAAAATCTGAAAGTACACAAAGCATTAATAACAAGTTTCTCAAAAGAAGAACAGTATCCAAAATAGTAGTAATAAACTAAAATAATAGTTTACAACTAAGTTCATACTAACAAAATGTAATAATAAATATTAACAAACTAATAGTTTAAGAGACTTCTTCTGAATCACCTGTACACTCAGTCCTTCTGATACAGAGCGACACTAACCTGGTAGCACCACTTGTTTGTGCCACTTTTTTGATTTTAAAAAAGTGCTATTGTCATAATTCACAAGAATTTCATATGCTTTCTATGTCCCTGTTACCGAAGTTGGAAAATGTTTAATGAGTACTTAGTTACAAGTGCTGAAAAGGGAGAAGGATGAAATTGTTTAAAGTATGCAGCACAGTTAACTGTCTTAACCAGGCTATTTAATCTCAGTTAGCTGTGTAACTACTAGATTTACAAACATCCATCTCCCCTAATTGTTGTAGTGAGATTTGCTACACAGCTGTATTTAAAATTGGTTTCTCAACCATAAAAAAACTTTATTTAAATGTATTTAATACACAAATTTTTTTTTATAAACTTAATGACACTTTTATAAGAACTGCAGAAGCCACATCAAAAATTATCTTTCCTGTTAACTTTCTGGGGCCTGAAACAGCTGCTTAGAATGTGAGCTTGCTAGCAAAGAATTGATTTTTGCCTGTACTGCTAAAGTTATCTATAGTATTTCTTGTTGTTCACTTGAACTACTTAGATATTAATACTTTAGCTTTTATCTTCTTTTGGTAACGTACTAAAGATGAAAAGCACCTTAGAAAAAGGCTGCTATTCTAGCCCATGCTCAGTCTTCCATGCTGAGATTCATTCATCGGGCAGGTGACTGAAGAGCAATGATTGGAATCTCCCTAAGGAATTCCGAGAAGATAAAGCTCTCCGTGCTTGCGTGAAGCAATGAAGAAGGTATCAGCTGCATTCATACACAAGCTTATTCCCTCCAAACATACGTGTTACCGACATCAGCCTCAGGCTGAGAGTGCATTTAAGACCACCTGTCCCCCACCACGTGGGCACGTTCTGATCGTGTGGCCAAGTTGCAGGAATTCTGGAAGACACATTTTGTGTAACTAAAGAAAATGCAAGGTCTTTTTATGTTTGAGGTAGGAGTACTGTGCCTCACTTTTGAAAAGCAGTAGCATGCAATTATGTATATGAAAAAGAACATCTGCACATTCACTAGTAAGCTCTTCAGAATGACTAAACCCAGAATCAGGTACCCAAAGTAGCTGTGGTGATGCGACACCAACATGTTGCTTGTGCTTTGTAAATACAAGTTTAAAGTGTTACCTAATGCATCTAAGAAATGGGTAGTGCTTTTCCTTCTGGCATAGCCAGCATTCAGTTGAAAGTAAGAGGATGAGTCTTACTCTGCCAGGGCTATTGGGGTTTCTCAGAAGTGCCCAGCAGTCACCCCAGCCTACCTGCCCATGAGTCCACCAGCAGTCCAGGAATGGCAGTGCCCTTCTCCCGGCAGCTCCCACCCCCTCTTGCCACCAGGCTCTCCCCGAGCCGTCCCTGAGCACACCCGCTAGGGGAACAGGAGACAGCGGACTCGTGGCCAGGCACAAGCGGTGCCTCACCTGTGACCCATCAGGCCGGTTGCCCTCTCCGGGCCTCACATGCTTCA